TTGGACGACCGCCCGGAGGCTGCCTCGGCAAACGCCATGCCTGGTTTCGAACGCTGCGGGTTTTCACAGTAAGGGTTGCCATTTTTTTCACTCCAAGGGTTTAGGCTTCCGGGTTTAGGGTAATGTAAGGGTTGGCTTTAGGTTTGGTCATTTGGGAGGGCTTCAAGGCTTCAAGCTTGACAGTTGGGCTTAGACTTGCAATATTTTGCTAGGTGGATTAGGGATCTTTGGGCTGGAGGAGAACAGAATCCTCATCAACATGGTAGAGTTCTAGTTTTTCGGCCCACAAGGCAGGAGAGTCGCGCCATAGCCACTGCACTGACTTCGCAGATTGGGGTTGCTCTAAATTTCGGATCCCCTTTGGGGAGCGGGCATAGATGCAAGACACGCACTGCCCTTGGTCTTTCAAATCTCGTGCCCACATGCAAGGACTGCAGTCCACATAACACAGGAGGCAGTTGCGACACCCCGAAGCATCGTCAGGCTGATCTTCAGCTCCACCTGTCATTCCTTTTGGCTGCATGCCCTCGACAGTGCATGACTCTAAGCTCCGCATCGGAACCAGGTGCGTAATCATGCAAATGCCAAGCAGTAACACTGCCACCAAAGCCTGGCAAAACAAAAACAGCAATGCCACTATCCTCGCTGGATCGGGCTTGCTGGCGAGGCGGCGAGATCGTATCACAGACTGGGTGGTTGGACCCTCGGGAAGTCTTCAAATCATTCGATGGCGCAGTTTGTCGGGGTTCCATCTTGTGTGCGAGATCTTAGACCTCACATTTCTGTCCAGCGCCTGCCCTTTGGCAGACAGTGTCTAGAAAAGATGGATACCTTGGCCCTGTCGTGCTGCTCAGATATCATGGCCGATGTGCACTGAAGGGGAGGGGGGCAAAGGACCGGCGATAAAAAGGATGCACAAGCCGAACTTCCGACAAATAAGGCCAGCTACAGGCTCCCCATGTAACTTGACATGCTCCCTCACCGAACATAGCTGCCTAAAGCAGGATGAGGTGAACGACCCATTCTGCCAGTCAAGATGAGTACATAGAGTGTACAAAGGGACATACATCACAGGCGCTTCTTCGGAAATATATCCGCGATCTTACTCCCCGAGGGGCGTCCCAGGCCGGGCTTTGCATAGTTCTGGGAGGGATGCGGGCACTTCAGCACTTGCTGAGTTTAGGCCTTAAGGTGCAGATAGATATACACATCAACTATCTTCGTATGGCCTTCAAACTAGAAATCGAAACAGCGGTATCCGAGCAGCTGAGGGCGGACTCGTTTTGGCCCTTGCTTGAGATGGAGACTTGCCGACTGCTGCCTCGAAAGAGACGTGCAATGATGCACAAGATCCGTTGACGCGCGCAGCGAGACCTGAGAAAAGGACTCTGCTGGGATGGACCCCACCATGTCTGACAGAATCCACGCCAGAGCACCTGCCCCTCCCAGCCAAACTCAAAAAGCAACATGCTGATGGAGCTTGTGCGCATGCCCGACTTGGACATTTGAACGAACTCGAAAAATTCGTGTAAACAGCATTTAGCTGGTGCTTTCAAGCTTAAGTCTGTCGGCGCCTAAAGTTTCAACAGCCGCTGAACTTGCCACCTGACCTGCATCTTCTCATCCAACCAAGCGGCAAGGCTAGACCTGATTGGGGCAGGCTTCCGCGCCTGAGATCAGGACTGCGCGTAAGGGCCCTGTGAGTTTGCGGCCACTTTGCCTAGTCAAGGCCGCAACCTGATCTCCAGTCTCCACACGGACACTACAAGCCTTAAACTCTTGAGCTCCCGGGGATAAGAATGATAGGGACTGCAATCCATGGACTGGAAGTCCCCTCGCCCATCGGTAGCTGGTAGCACTTTCCACGCAACCACAGGAGCCGGGTACGCGAAGGAATCGGCGCAAAGCTGTGCAAAGCCAGAATAATCAGGCAAGAAGGGGACTGCCACACAGAATCTAAGCCAACACGTTGCTTTAACAAACCATGGTTCCCATGCAGCCGAAAGACTTCGCACGATCCATGACACGTCGTCATGCTTCACCGCGTTCTGAAGTGGGCCATGCAGGCATGTGTGGCTTTCCCTTTGTTGAAGATACGCTGAACACTGTTGTTGCAAACTCGACTGCTGTGATAAACGAGACAGCGTGCGCAGCACAAACGTTAAGTTACATGGAAGAACGTTTCACTGTCTGATGCAAGACGGGGTACCATGCAGGTTCTTGTCGCGGCCCATAGATCCAGAAACATGGAATACAGCATATTAAGTCTGTATGGCGCAATGCCACCCGATGATTGCCATGCCTTGGAGTTGTCCCCGCTGGTCGTGCAATTGTCCTCAGGTTGCGGGATGTACATCCCAACTCTTTATGAAGCCTGAATAGCTCTAGCTACAGGGGTTATTTGGGCGGGCAAAGAACGAGGCCTGGAAATAATCCCTCAAAGCCAGGACTACAACATGCGAAGCTTCCAACCAACCCTTATCGATGACTTCGAAGACCGTCCAACCTACACCAACCAATCATAAACCCTACAAAGCCTGAGAACCCTTAAGATCCCCTTTTAAGTAAGAAAGCCGCTGGCTTGCGGGCCCCGAGACTGGATTGAAGTCCACCTCCCCGTTGTCAAAGCAGGCATTTCGTTTCCAGGTAAATCGCGCGTGGGTGTCGTTGCCTCGGTGGTCTCATTTCTTCACCCCCCGAACCCCTAAACACTATAGCTGAGCTGGGTCGACCTACACGCATGTCCTCGAGAGACATACTGTGAAGCGAACGCATTTGTTCAACTGCCGGCTCAGTAGCTTCCAGGGTTTCGGACTTAAAGCTTGGGGAGCGCTTTCATAGGCGGGGGTTCCGAGCCGTCGAGCCCGTGGGCTGTGAGAGGATGGCGGTTCTAGTATGGGAACACGGCGTAGAAGATTCGCCCAATGACGGCTGGGATTGGCTGGGTTGACCTGGATTTCAGGTAGGCGCACTGTGAAAAGGACACAAGCCTACGCAGCTGAGATGGCTGGTCGCGAATGAATCGGCATGCATCTGCACAACTCATCTCTAAAGCAGAGCCGATTCATAGATCCAATTAGTTGCCTTTGACTTTTCCTGTAAAAACCGAATGAAAACGCTGAGCTGTCCCTGTTTCGTGCAGATCACAAAGGGCCGCTTTGTTGGGGCAGCAGGAGACGGGTGACCAGCGTTGACCCAGGAAGCTGCTTCAATTATCTCGCTTGTGGTGCGGTATGCAAGTGCTTGAGCGCCGTGAAAAGACGCTCTGCGGAAACCTGCCCTTAATGCCCCCCCCCCCCCGACCAAAGTCAACCTGCAGGGCTCAGGGCCCGACTCAGTTCCAGCTGTGCCATCCCAAATGCTCCCTGACGGAACGCGGACCTTGCCAGGCTGCTGGCGAGGACCGGGCAATGAAAGAGGCTGCTTGGATGGCTTAGGGTGGCCAACGGTCGGCCTGAACAAGAGGCCGGGGTGACCTGTTTTGACATAGTGCGGTGCATGGCTACAGATGAAGTTGCCCAGCAAAAGAGCCTTTGTAAGATTGCAAGATAGTCAGCCGGCCACGGTTGTGCCTATGTAAAGCATGGCCAACTTTCATGCCACAACCCTGAAACTCTGACTCCATGAAACAACCCATCTTCCTAAGAACGCTTTTTGCTTGCATGTCACAAAACCCCGCAGCTGACCCCGGACAGCTCTTGACACCCACATCCCGCACTCCAAAAAGCCCTCATAAGAATTCATCCAAACACATCCAAATACCAAGCTTAGCCGCCAGGTTGGCTCCGGCGCCCCGTTCTCCCCCGGAAGCCACTTGGCATAGAGGCCTGGCATGTGGCTCCTTGCTTTGGATTGGGGTTTTAGGGTTCTGAGATTTCGACTATACATACACTTTCCAAAGCTCCCTTGTTTTAGGGCTAGGTTTCTTTGTTTGAGCACAGGGTTCCCGACATGTCCATTCGATTTCTTCTCCAGCAGCAGGCGTCCATCAGCAGCAATGGCAAGGGGGGGGGGGACCTTCAACGGTATGCATTGTGTGGATCTTTGCTTGTCGGTACTTCAGAATTTCAAGCACAAGCTCTCGGGACCATTGGCTCTCAAGACTCACTTCGGGTGCCGTCTGCAAGGCCTTCGCGATTTCCACCATCGCCAATCTGCGGGGACAAGTTGGTGCTGCTGTAAGGACGTTGCCTACTGGTGTCTATGAACAACGCTCGTTGGAGCTCTCAAACTTCGGCATGCGAACCTCTGCACATGTTTACATGTTTCTTTTCATCAAGATGGAAGGAGCGACTCGATCTTGAGAATCAGCCTTGAAGCGGTGGCACAATATCGGTACATGTATTTCAAGAATATGTTTAAATGCATATATGTACATACATGTGGCCAAGATTATGGTCGGGTAGCAGGCTGACAGCATGTGTTTTTCACACTGCCAAACGCTTGCCCTGAGTTCCTTGTCGCCTTCATATTTAAGAAACGAGTACCCCTACATAGTCTAGCACCTGCCAGCCTCAAGCCTTACGCAAAACCTGGCTTGCAGCTGGGCTGGAACGAGTGGCGTTGAGGTACACTGGCGCGCAAACAGTCGTTTCGTTCCTCGCCGCAGTGGCACCACTGCATATTTGACGTCTGCTAGCAGCACTGTGCAATCATGCTATTTCAACACGCGGCTGCAAAGGCGGGCTGCTCTGTTAAGATGAACAAGAGCTCTTGACACGAATCCTGGCCTCTCTAGATACATACGTACTCCTACATACACACCTGCATGCATACATATTTTCTACATGCATGTATATATATATATATATACATATGTATGGTCACCCCCCCCCCATGATCCACACTTATGGTTTTGCTGTCTTCGTCTGTGTCTACACATCTATATATATATATAAGTGTATATATATATATATATTTGTATATATAACGTTTTTACTCTAAACATATCAGGCATTAGTCGCCGCACCCTGCGAACCGCAGCAAGCCAACATCCCTGTTTAGGCAGGGCTCTTGTAGACCGGCCAGGTGCGTTCGTAGGAGTGCACCTTTTATGGGTCTGGAAGAGTGGCTGCTCGGCTGCTCATGAACCCAGACCCCGCATACACAATGGCACACGAAGCCCTGGAACCCACATGGCCGTGGGCATACTTCAGGGTTTAGGGTTTTAGGGTTTAAGGGCTTGAAGGTTTTTGGGTTTAGTTTCTCCCAAAGGCCGGTAATCAGTTCTCGTGGTCCTCATGCTGAGAGCGCCACGTGGCCCGCAAGCACGATGTTCACCCCGTGCTTGAAGAGCAAGTCTTCCAGATCCTCCATCATGACCTCAGGCCAACACGGTGATTGCTCCGCACCATACCAAAGAGTTCTTTCTGTTAAGGGCTTTCGACCGAACTCCAAGCCTTCAAGCCCGACTCCCGGGTTCACATCAAGCTGTGCCACCCTCATCACCGCTCTCGAGGAGAACAGCTGGTAAAAACGTGTGTGTGTGTGTGTGTGCACGTGTGTGTGCACGTGTGCGTGTGTGGGCTTGGCTTGCCCATTTAGTTGATTTAGTTCTTCGGAAGCAGCTTCCCCTGGAGCCAGCAACTGGCAGCCTCAGGAAGCCCTCGCATTCCTCCCACCACACACTGCAACCCTAAACCTCACATCACGTTTTCCACTATAAGCCTTACAAGACGCCTCCAAAAGGAAGGACCACAAAAGGCCAAACTTGACCCAAACCTATGGTATCATGCTGGGTCCCGCGCTGTGGCTTCACCCAGGTGGCCCAAGTTGGAGTTGTAGAAGGGTGCGTGCATCATCACCTGGATTTGGGCTCTCAGGCCCCTGGCTTGGGGGTTTTGGAAGGCATGTATAAGTGGCTTTGTGCCCAACCTGCAGACAGAGAAGCCCAACCGACAGTCAGGAGGTGTTTTTGTTGGTAGTGTCGGTGTTGATTCTTGGACAAGCCAGGGTTGCGCCGAACATCTAAAAGAAGCCTGGACGCTGCAGCCATCTGAATATGATAAGGGTTGCCCAACCAATCTCCTCCGTTGCAATACCAATCTCCCCTCGACCACAGTGTGTGACAAGGGGCAACCAACCAAGGCGTTCGCTTACGGCTGAAGGCCTGCCGCTTTTCAAAGAGAACATACTGACAATCACTTCCAGAAACTACAAGTACGATGATCTCACTCTCTCGCTGTCTCTTCTTATTCTTCGTCTCCAAAGCTCGCTATCCATCTTTCTTTCAAGGGGCCTGGGGTCCGGGATGCCCCCTTCCTCCATGCTGACCGCGTGCCCAAGCTTTCGGAGCGGAAACATGCTGCAGATCGAAGGGGGGGGGGTCGATGTCATCCATCCCCCTTCCCCCCTCACCCCATACAGTGCACCCCCTTTCTCCCCCGTTAGCTTCTTCTTCTGCCGGGGAGGAGGAGAACCCGGACCGCACAAGCGCGCCCGAGGTCTGTCCGGAAGCCGGTGTGACGAGCGCAAAGCTCGTGCTGCACTTCCATGCACGGGAGACGGATTTTGCCCGAGACGACACTACCATCACACAAACCACACCTTGGATTTGCAGCTTCTCCCCTTCCCTGTAGCTCTATAGCTCTATCTCTTCCACTCTTCCTGCGGACCTAATGTCACCGTTGTAGTGATCATTCTCGCTATTACTGCTAAGAACATCATGGGGACTAAGCATCATGGTTTCTAGCTTTTCATAAGCTGCTCAATGCTGGATGGCTGCAGGGGCGTTGAAACTTTAAGGGTGGGTGTCTAAATCAAAGGATCTAATTTTTGCTGCTAATCACACACACACACTTTCTTTCTTTCTGCGCACTTAACCCCCCCCGTTTAGGAGAGGGCCGCCCGAAGGCGTGCGTTACAGAGTGCAGCGGGCTGATCGGTGTCTGGGGCTCCGGGCAACGTAAGTACTACAGCTAGCAACACACGGTGATCAGAAGTCACACACACACACTCTCTCTCTCTCTCTCTCTCTCTCTGCTGGTTTGCTTCTGTTTGTTAATGTGTTTTGTCTTCATCACTCTCGCTTCTGCGGCTGCCTTGAGGGCTAGTTGTATTGTGTCTGTCTTGTGTGGTCTTGTCTTGTCTTGTCCTCGATCACTTCGTCCTTCCTATCTGCCTTTCAGGATGGTTCATGGTTTATCCTGATGTTCCGAGACCTACACTTCAAATAAAGCATAAGGGTTTCTGGATTCAAACCGGAAAGGTGCAGTGGAAGTCTGCGGTGTCAGGGCAACGGGGAAATCTGCTTGTGGGGCAAAATTAAATGACCGGATCACCCCACATGCAAATTTATCTATTGAGAAAGAGTAGAGAGGTGCGCGAGTGAGTGCGTGGGTGAGTGTGAGTGTGAATGTGTGTGTGTGTGTGTCTCTGTGTGTGTGTGTGTGTGTCTCCGTGTGTGTGTCCGTGTGTCCGTGTGTCCGTGTGTCCGTGTGTCCGTGTGTCCGTGTGTCCGTGTGTCCGTGTGTCTCTGCTCGTGTGTGTGTGTGTGTGTCCGTGTGTGTGTGTCCGTGTGTGTGTGTGTGTGTCTGTGTCTGTGTCTGTGTCTGTGTCTGCGTCTGTGTCTGTGTCTGTGTCTGTGTCTGTGTCTGTGTCTGTGTCTGTGTCTGTGTCTGTGTCTGTGTCTGTGTCTGTGTCTGTGTCTGTGTCTGTGTCTGTGTGTCTGTGTCTGTGTGTGTGTGTCTGTGTCTGTGTCTGTGTCTCTGTCTGCGTCTGCGTCTGTGTCTGTGGCTGTGTCTGTGTCTGTATCTCTCCGTGTGTGTGTGTGTGTGTGTGTCTCTGTGTGTGTCCGTGTCTTTGTGTGTGTGTGTGTCTGTGTGTGTTTGTCTCTGTGTGTGTTTGTCTCTGTGTGTGTGTGTGTCTGTCTGTCTGTGTGTGTGTGTCTGTCTGTGTGTGTGTGTGTGCGCGGCAAGGGTCCAAGGCCCCGAAGCACCGCGCCTGTCCCACGATATTTGCGAGGTTGTCGACGAGAAAAGACAAAAACATCCCCGTGTCTTCACGCGCGCGGAACTCCGTTACCATGCTATTTGCGGTGTTTTCAAGCGCCCAGATGTCCGTTACCATGCTATTTGCGGTGTTTTTCAAGCGCCCAGATGTCCGTTACCATGCTATTTGCGGTGTTTTCAAGCGCCCAGATGTCCGTTACCATGCTACTTGCGGTGTTTTCGAGCGCCCAGACGTCCGTCACCGTGCTATTTGCGGTGTTTTCAAGCGCCCAGATGTCCGTTACCATGCTATTTGCGGTGTTTTCAAGCGCCCAGATGTCCGTTACCATGCTATTTGCGGTGTTTTCAAGCGCCCAGATGTCCGTTACCATGATATTTGTTTGCGGTGTTTTCATGCGCCCAGATGTCCGTTACCATGCTATTTGCGGTGTTTTCATGCGCCCAGATGTCCGCTACCATGCTATTTGCGGTGTTTTTCAAGCGCCCAGATGTCCGTTACCATGCTATTTGCGGTGTTTTCAAGCGCCCAGATGTCCGTTACCATGCTACTTGCGGTGTTTTCGAGCGCCCAGACGTCCGTCACCGTGCTATTTGCGGTGTCAAGCGCCCATGTCTGTTACCATGCTATTTGCGGTGTTTTCAAGCGCCCAGATGTCCGTTACCATGCTATTTGCGGTGTTTTCAAGCGCCCAGATGTCCGTTACCATGATATTTGTTTGCGGTGTTTTCATGCGCCCAGATGTCCGTTACCATGCTATTTGCGGTGTTTTCATGCGCCCAGATGTCCGCTACCATGCTATTTGCGGTGTTTTTCAAGCGCCCAGATGTCCGTTACCATGCTATTTGCGGTGTTTTTCAAGCGCCCAGATGTCCGTTACCATGCTATTTGCGGTGTTTTCAAGCGCCCAGATGTCCGTTACCATGCTACTTGCGGTGTTTTCGAGCGCCCAGACGTCCGTCACCGTGCTATTTGCGGTGTTTTCAAGCGCCCAGATGTCTGTTACCATGCTATTTGCGGTGTTTTCAAGCGCCCAGATGTCCGTTACCATGCTATTTGCGGTGTTTTCAAGCGCCCAGATGTCCGTTACCATGATATTTGCGGTGTTTTCAAGCGCCCAGATGTCCGTTACCATGATATTTGTTTGCGGTGTTTTCATGCGCCCAGATGTCTGTTACCATGCTATTTGCGGTGTTTTCATGCGCCCAGATGTCCGCTACCATGCTATTTGCGGTGTTTTTCAGGTGCCCAGATGTCCGTTACCATGCTATGTGCGGTGTCTTCAGACGCCCAGGGCGTCCGCGGCGTACTACGTCTGTACTACAAAAAGTCGACTTTCCAGCCACGGAAGCTCCGCGTGTCCGCGGCGTACTACGTTTGTACTAGAAAAGTCGACTTTCCAGCCACGGAAGCTCCGGATGTCCCCGGCGTACTACTTGGAGGGTCGGTGCAGAGCGCGCGCGCGGCAAGGGTCCAGGGCCCCTGAGTACCGCGCCTGCCAGCACAAACGACACCTGTGTCGCGCCTGCCAGCGTTTCCCGCGCCCCGAGCGCGCGCGCGGCAACGGTCCAGGGCCCCTGAGTACCGCGCCTGCCAGCAGAAACGACACCTGTGTCGCGCCTGCCAGCGTTTCGCGCGCCCCGAGCGCGCGCTCGGCAAGGGTCCAGGGCCTCTAAGTGCCGCGCCTGCCAGCACAAACGACGCGTGTGTCGCGCCTGCCAGCGTTTCGCGCGCCCCGAGCGCGCGCTCGGCAAGGGTCCAGGGCCTCTAAGTACCGCGCCTGCCAGCACAAACGACACCAAGTGCCGCGCCTGCCAGCACAAACGACGCGTGTGTTGCGCCTGCCAGCGTTTCCCGCGCCCCGAGCGCGCGCTCGGCAAGGGTCCAGGGCCTCTAAGTACCGCGCCTGCCAGCACAAACGACACCTGCGTCGCGCCTGCCAACGTTTCCCGCGCCCCGAACGGGCGCGCGGCAAGAGTCCAGGGCCCCTAAGTACCGCGCCTGCCAGCCCAAACGACGCCTGTGTCGCGCCTGCCAGCATTTCCCGCGCCCCGAGCGTGCGCGCGGCAAAGGTCCAGGGCCCCTGAGTACCGCGCCTGCCAGCCCAAACGACGCCTGTGTCGCGCCTGCCAGCGTTTCCCGCGCCCCGAGCGCGCGCGCGGCGAGGGTCCAGGGCCCCTAAGTACCGCGCCTGCCAGCAGAAACGACGCCTGTGTCGCGCCTGCCAGCGTTTCCCGCGCCCCGAGCGCGCGCGCGGCAAGAGTCCAGAGCCTCTAAGTCCCGCGCCTGCCAGCCCAAACGACGCCTGCCCGCGCCCCGAGCGCGCGCGCGCGGCAAGGGTCCGGGGCCCCTAAGTACCGCGCCTGCCAGCAAAAACGACGCCTGTGTCGCGCCTGCCAGCGTTTCCCGCGCCCCGAGCGCGCGCGCGGCGAGGGTCCAGGGCCCCTAAGTACCGCGCCTGCCAGCAGAAACGACGCCTGTGTCGCGCCTGCCAGCGTTTCCCGCGCCCCGAGCGCGCGCGCGGCAAGAGTCCAGGGCCCCTAAGTACCGCGCCTGCCACCAGAAACGACGCCTGTGTCGCGCCTGCCAGCGTTTCCCGCGCCCCGAGCGCGCGCGCGGCAAAGGTCCGGGGCCCCTAAGTACCGCGCCTGCCAGCCCAAACGACGCCTGTGTCGCGCCTGCCAGCGTTCCCCGCGCCCCGAGCGCGCGCGCGGCAAGGGTCCAGGGCCCCTAAGTACCGCGCCTGCCAGCAAAAACGACGCCTGTGTCGCGCTTGCCAGCGTTTCCCGCGCCCCGAGCGCGCGCGCGGCAAAGGTCCAGGGCCCCTAAGTACCGCGCCTGCCAGCCCAAACGACGCCTGTGTCGCGCCTGCCAGCAGAAACGACACTGCGTCATGTGATTTGATGCGTCACACCGCGTCATATGCGTGATGTGATGCGTGATGTGCGTGATATGATGCGGCGTCATGTGCGTGATGGTACGTCATGTGCGTGATGTGATTTGATGCGTGACACCGCGTCATGTCCGTGATGTGATGCGTGATGTGCGTGATCGTGCGTGCTGTGCGTGATTGCGTGACACCGCGTCATGTCCGTGATGTGATGCGTGATGTGCGTGATCGTGATGTGCGTGCTGTGCGTGATGCTGCGTCATGAGGAACAGGAAGAGGAGGACGGGGAGGAGGAGGAGAAGGAGGAGGAGGAAGAGGAAGAGGAGGAGAAGGCGGGACAGCCCCAAAAGTAAGAACCCCACACAAAGATGTGGGGAAAAACCGTAGTCGGGATTCTCGCGTCTGCGACTCTCAACTATGGTCTGGTCCA